CATTCCTAACCTGAAGATCTTACAATAGTTTTCAGTGAAGTTAGGTTAGGTGAGGTTCACACTGTGCTGTCATTAATGCTACATCATGAAACAGCAGTAATTCCTTGCCCCGATTGCTATTAACAATCAAAGTCTTATGTTGTTTTGTTTTTATTTTCCTTTCACAAACTACTTCTGGTATCTGAAATAAACTTTAGGTCTCTCCGTTCCTATGGCTGTGTGAAGCAACTCGTCGTCTAATTGTAGTTGAGTTTCTGATGTGGAAAATAAATAAACAATATATTTTTTCATCAGGTCGCTCTAAAAATAACACAGTTGTTAAGGAGACCATCTAAAGATTATATTTACCAGAACTTGTCCAAAGAAACGGCCATATCAACTCTGCTTAAAATTAGGACAGTGGCGGAGAAGAATGTTGGCGGATGCACAAAAGATTCTGGGTGTTGGTACATGCTCACCTTGGCCTTGAGCCAGAGCAGCTAATACTTATGTACACTGAATGAGAAGTCTCTTAATTTAGGCGCAAGTAATACCTATTTCGGGAAGTTTCAATGCGAACCGACTTCTATTCCGACCGAACATTCCTCCTCATGTAAGAGATTCACCTCATTCACGGCGTTTTGTTTGCTTTCAATTTTTCTCTCGAGTTTGTACAGCCTCAGATCCTGGTGCTTCTACGAGTTAGTTTCATCAATGCGTAAACTTAAGAAACTCTAAATCATACGGATGTGCGGGTACATTTTTCAACGGTGCGAGGCGTGACGCTGTCTGCCAAATCTTACAATTTATTTCAATGATCGTCGTCCATCGCAATCGAAGCAACAAACTCACAAGAAAGAACTAAATAAATCTACCCCTCAGGTATTGTCTATATTCACCTACATCATTAAGAAATAGATCCTCAACCCATGACGACTGAACTTGTCACCAACTGAGGAGGTTTCTGTAGTTAGGTTCACTTGGATATTTAAAGACGACCACATTTTTTTTATTAATTCCTCATAAAATTAATATTTTACCTTATGACAAGCCAACAGACTGCCAGCATTGGCACAAGGTTTACACTAGTGGATATAAATATAACTATATAGGCCTATTATTATTATTATTCATCTTATGTGACTCCAGGTCTATTATTATACTTTCTATAAATAACATGGCTGTGTCCTGGTCACCACCTAACCTTAATATTGCTGAACATTTGACAAAAAAAATAGGTCTAACATCTGAGAATAACCATAAAATAGGAAGATAATGTTATAATATGGAAAACGATTGTAATATGGTACAAGTATATCGCTTCGACTGCTTAATGAGTTTATTGTCGTTTTGGAGGTATTATTCCGTATTACCTCCCTCATTGTCTCTTTAATGGTGAGACAATATCAACACGACTGTAATATATCATAAAATATTTGCAATTACAAGTCGATAAAATAACAACGAAGATGACCCCGAGTTTTCCTCACCCTATCCAGCTTATGGAAGTAGTCTCGAAGGAAAGCGATAGGGTTGTCTGGTCTGCTCACACACAAGCTCACGATCGCATCTTTCAAAATTTGTTGAATATTATGGCGCTGCACATAGGCCTCACATTCCCGCAGAGATTGCTCTTCTTCAAGGTTCGCCGCCATCTTCGTTGATCACGCACTGACGAAAATCTATAGATGATAGAAAACAAGTAGTTATACAGGATCACATTCTTTTAATGTCATTGGAACTTTTCAAAATAACATCATATAAAGGCTTATATTCCGCTGAAACAGAATGCGGATCCTTGCATATACCTATGAGTCAAATTATTTTCAAAGCTTTATTAATAATACCATATCAGAACTGCAGACGACATCCCTTTGTCCAACGAATGCTGTAATTCCTATTTAGAAATGATGACATTACGATTAAGGATTAACAATCATGAATTTAACATCAAGTAAACTCTTAGAAGTCTACATTACATAGAAAAGCAAATACTAAGGAATGTATGGAGATAGTCATCATTTTTGTTCAGCTGACATAAAACAACTACCAAAGAAAACGTAAATCACTGCGAGGGTAACTCTAGTAGACCATTGTCACTCGATACACGACAATAATCCTGAGTTGTACAGTTCCAGTCACGTGATCTAGACTGGAAAATGTAATAAGTTTCCAGATTGTAAGAGGTTCTTACAAAGAATATTCCTTGCATATATAAGAATGCTATTAATCGGTGAACTTAAACTAAATTAAAAACTCATCATACAGTATTTCGAGACTAAGCGGTATCGAGATACGTTCTCTTGGCACCAATTAGGAGAAATTATTAAGGTAGGATCGTTCCATTGTTCTTGATAGTTTGTCAAAGGGTATATTGAAGCCCAGTACTGTTCTCGCTTCCACAGCTTGAGCAAGTAACCTGCTCCATAGGTCTACCAGCTCCAGTGTGAAGTAATTCCTTACATTCTTCCTGCATGACAACTTGGATAGCTTGAATTTGTGTCCTCTCGCGTTAATGGAACGTGACAACACGAAAATATTACCTGGACTTACGTTTTCCATCACTTTCAAGATTTTTAATGTCCATGAGATTCGCCTTATTGGGTCTTGTCTGAAGACTTGTTAGTCCTGATTCCTCAGGCCTTCAGTCTAGTTAGATAAACCTTTCCTGAGGATGTTATGTATTCCTGAAGGTAAGGTTTCCAAGCCTGTATAGCCTAAAGTGGGGACATAAAGTTGGAGAAATACGTCTTATAATTCCTAAGCTCTAATATTATCGCTCACAATACTTAAGCCCCGTTTCTCATTATATACAAGAGGTGTAAAAATATAGTGGAATGGCGCAGGAAAAATAATTTACTAGATCAACTGGCAGTGGTGTCACGCATCTCGTTGGCTCATAACCATAAATATTTACAATCCTTTTGTAAAAGATGTGATCCTCCTCAGGATTTTGATGTTTTTATGTTTACCCAGCCCACAATAAAACAGGAAAGCACTGTGTGACTTGCCGAGTATATTAAATAACAGAAGTTGTCCACATACCATCAACAATAAGAGTTATTGTTTTCTCCACCAAATATGCGCGTGGGAAGGTCTCGTGCGATGGGCGGCCCGTTGCTGAGGAAGGAAGGCAACAGTTTCTTCTCACCTGAATATGGCTCTCCCCGCTAGTGTGTCATCTTCTCAGTCACCCCAGGCCTATTGTACCCCACGTCCTTCCTTCTATTCTACTTTCATATACATTATTCCTTTACTTTATTTTACTTTACTTAATCCTCTTTATTTTATCCTCTTCGCCATGGATCAGCCTGTTAGCTTTCCCATAGTTACAGTCGCTCGTCTTTCAATTGCATGAGTCGATCACTTTGAAACTTGGTGTGCCTTGCCTCAACCCGTATTTTTTCAATGTCGATTTTTGGGAAGTTGCAATCATCGTGTTGGACGCCAAATACCATAGATCTTAATACTCCTGCACTCCACCCACACAGGTGAGCTCAATTCCTGTATGGGCTTTGGCTGATGTTCAACTTCTTGGGGTCAAAGGTTCAACAGTCCATTAAAAAAAGAAAATGTTGACAGAGTGCTAGATATATAACCGGTAAAAGGAAAACCAAGTTAAAACCCAACTGTTCCATATAAGTTCACTCGACAGGTTAGGTTAGGTTAGGTAAGGTAAGGTAAGGTAAGGTAAGGCAAGATGAACTTAGATTAGGGTTAGGTTAATGTGTTTGACCATCAGATAAAATAAGCGGGGTGCCTTATCTTCACGTGATCCAGAGAAAATATTATGGATGCTGGCAGCACTAGTTTCACATCTACTCTCTCTGCGTGATCACCTCGGTAGCCGGCGGTCTAAGCAAGTACCGGCAAAACAAGTCACATGTCAAGGTGTGGTGGCCACTTAACACTTTGAAAAGATGTTGTGGTTCATGTTTTATCTCCAACCCTGAGAACCGGTACGGGGGAGAACCAGGCCACTCACACCACCTTCAGGAGTGATACCAGGCCACTCACACCACCTTCAGGAGTGATTCACACCACCTTCAGGAGTGATACCAGGCCACTCACACCACCTTCAGGAGTGATTTGACCGGTAGATTTGAGATCACTTGAAGATTTTAGCTACCCGTCCCCATCAGTCTATTTCACCTGATGATTAAATTCCTTAATGGTATCTCTTGGGGAATTAGGTTAGGTGAGGTTAGGTTAGGATTTGGACGAATATTCTTCAGATACAATAAACTGGGGGTTAATTGTCCTGTGATCCCAGACATGTCGTCATCCTGGTCGTCCACCAACCTGGATCTCGGTGTTAACTGTGACCTTTACGCCAGGAAGTTGTCTCAGGGGCAGGAATTCTAAGAGAGTTTCGGAACAAATGGGACAAATACTTGTGAATGGTAATGAAGACAAGACGTGTCCATGGTGTTCCTCGTACTGTACCTGCCGAGGGTAACGCTAAGACTACAGAGGAAGGAATACAGTGAGTGACGAGGGTGAACGAGGATATTTGAGTTACAGGTCGTCGTGTTGACCTCAAGTGAGGGTGTTGGACAGTGGGGGTGAATATGAAGGTGACCCACGTCAGTGAGGGCCAACCCATGTCTGTTGCTGGCTTCCTGGGTCCCTCGTCTTACTATACATAATATTCTTTTAGTCTTAAATTGTGTTTTGATAAGAGTTTACCCCAAAAGACTCAACATTTCTGTATTTCGACTAAACGCTGCCGCCGTCTATGATCTTGATCACCTTTACATCACCTCGCCACTTACCTGGTGTGTGACGTCACCACAAACTCCGCCCACTCAAAATCAAGAAGTTTGTGGTATAGCAAAACCCATTATTGATCACACCTTTGTTTGCTCTGCAGTACATGAAGCCTACAGTGTGCTATACAGTATAGCGATTGGGCTGATCACTCACTGGAAAGAAACCGTTCTTGCTGAAGGAGATGTCGAAAGTGACTAGTCGGCATCTTGGGAGAAAGTAGTTGTGGGACTTGCCCTGGCGCGAGTCGAGGACTAGTGGTGGCTCGCTCTCTGTGGGGGTAACATCCGTGCGTCCTGGTGTCCGACACATTACTATGGTGTCCAACTGAGTTACCAATAAGTTTATGGTGTGGACAATCACAGTAATGTTTTCTCATAGAAAAAAACTTTTATCTTGATCCAAAGTGTAAAGTGTAAGATAAATTGGTGTCCCTTAAGAGCAAGATAAGTGAAACTCCTCGTGTGTGGGAGACAGGCAAGTGAACTTTAGTGTAAGTATGCTATCAATACATTTCTCTTTCATTCACGCTAAAACACTCACCAATATCCCTATTACCATCATCATTATTCATCTACCCTTCATTAATACATTCTGTTTACGTCAACCCAGCCAGTCACACGAATTTCATCATAACATTTCTTGCCTCTCTTCTTATCAGTTTATCTTTAGGTTCCCTGTACAGTTATCGCCCCTCTTAGACAGCCAAGCAGGTGACCGCAAGATAAACAACACCAACTGGTTAATGAATATAAGACTTATTATTACTACAACTAACTGTGAGTTATTATGCTAACTTTCTCATCAGTGAGTTGCGTGGCTAAATAACAACCAGGGTTATTAATGTTGTAGGTTTTGATGATGAGGAGTTGTTATAACCCTTTTGTGTCAATATGTTGTTGGTTGTGATGATGAGGAGTTGTTATAACCCTTTTTATCGTTGTATTATCATCTTGAAGGTTGTGAGACCCGGATATTACATTCTATAAGTCTCTGGTATACAACCCTTATTGCGAGGTTGTGAAGTTGTGTTGTAGTGTAACATTTACACCTCAGGCCAAACACTAGTACACACACACACACACACACACACACGGCTCACATTACTATCACGGGTTAGAAGCTACAATCTGTAATCTAAGCTACTTTCTGTGACGTTGGTGTGACGTAGGTGTGACGTAAGTGTGACGTAAGTGTGCCTGTAAATAGGTAACTAACTGTACACAAACTTCAAAATCTCTGGCTAGAAAAAAAAGACAAACTCGAATGCAAGTTATTTTCATTTCTCTAAGTCTGGGTCAAGTGGCATATGGTGGTGTAGAGGCTGGCAGTGAGAGACGGTACAGATGGTGAGAGACGGTACAGATGGTGAGATACGGTACAGATGGTGAGATACGGTACAGATGGTGAGATACGGTACAGATGGTGAGATACGGTACAGATGGTGAGATACGGTACAGATGTGAGATACGGTACAGATGGTGAGATACGGTACAGATGGTGAGATACGGTACAGATGGTGAGATACGGTACAGATGGTGAGATACGGTACAGATGGTGAGATACGGTACAGATGGTGAGATACGGTACAGATGGTGAGATACGGTACAGATGGTGAGATGGCCTTTTGCGTAATGGGCGTATTGGTACATTAACACAGCCTCTTGATTTGGTTAGGTTAGGTAAGGTCAGGTTAAGTTAGGTTAGGTTAGGTTAGGTTAGGTCAGGTTAGGTTAGGTTAGGTTATGTGAGATGACCTTATGCTAAATGGTACAAGAACACCGCCTCTTGATTAGGTTAGAACACTGCCTCTTGGTAGGTTAGAACACTTGCCTCTTGATTGGTTAGAACACTGCCTCTTGATTGGTTAGAACACTGCCTCTTGATTGGTTAGAACACTGCCTCTTGATTGGGTTAGAACACCGCCTCTTGATTGGTTAGAACACTGCCTCTTGATTGGTTAGAATACATCCTCTTGATTGGTTTGAACACTGCCTCTTGATTGGTTAGAACACTGCCTCTTGATTGGTCAAAATAAGTCCTCTTGATTGGTTAGAACACTTGCCTCTTAATTGGTCAAAATAAGTCCTCGTGATTGGTTAGAACACTGCCTCTTGATTGGTTAGAATACATCCTCTTGATTGGTTAGAACACTGCCTCTTGATTGGTTAGAATACATCCTCTTGATTGGTTTGAACACTGCTTCTTGATTGGTCAAAATAAGTCCTCTTGATTGGTTAGAACACTTGCCTCTTAATTGGTCAAAATAAGTCCTCTTGATTGGTTAGAACACTGCCTCTTGATTGGTTAGAATACATCCTCTTGATTGGTTTGAACACTGCTTCTTGATAAGGTTAGAACACTGCCTCTTGATTAGTTACAACACTGCCTCATGATTAGATTACAACACTGCCTCATGATTAGATTACAACACTGCCTCATGATTGGTTACAACACTGCCTCATGATTGGTTACAAGAACGGGACTGAGCAACCTGCGATTTTGTGACGTCAGTTTATCCAATAATCCAGTGATAATCCAGATAATTTCCTCGCCACGTTACGTAACTCTACAGCTCTTGGGGTCCATCTGATGGGGTACACACACTCACACACACACACACACACACACACTCACACACACACTCACACACACACACTCACACAGACACATACAGACACACACACACATACACACACACACACACACACCTCACTCATACGTGACAGCACAAGTTGGTGAAATTGGTAAAAAAATATGATAATAAGGATAATAATCTACGTATCCTTAGCATCATTTAAATATTGCTCTGTGTCATAACAAGCAATATATATATACATAACCTACAGTCCTAAACCTTACTAATCGTCGCCTTGCTCCGTGTCTAGGGAGATCTGACACGACGGTTATAAATGGAGGCGAGGTAAATTATATAAACTCATACTAAACGTTCAATGATCATTAAAGATGTACTAAGTTATTCTCGTCTCGTGAATTAAAGATCTTAAGAATATTGTTTTATCCTTAATTTTAAGGTAAACAAACAGAGGAGGTGTATAGGGGGCGGGAGAGTGTTTACCTGTCGTCTCCTCTCTCACGGCCCAAGTAAACAATTCTCCACGCTCTAAACTTTCACCAAATGGCTACAGAAAACTAACCACTTTACAAACTCTTATAAAACACCACTATGTCATTTTACACATTTATCAAGATGGACAAGTTTAATTAAGACGACTTCACCACTGCTATGGGCTTACTAATCTTATCGCTTACTTATCAGGAGAGCCATTACGATAACACAGTCGGTATCTGAGGACCACCCCTCCCCAGTTGTAGATCAGCTTTCGGGGAGTGTACACCTTAGCATAGCCACCTGTGTTACTGTGGTGACGTATGTATTGGATACCTGTGTTTATATACCTGTTCTTCGTAGATATATGTATCCACTGTGCTTTTGTGTGACGCTTATTTTTATACTGTGGTGAGAAAGACAGTGTATGTGTTGCCCCTGTCTACCCAGCAGTAATTGGAGAGCTGGAGTTCATAACGCCTGGTGTAGTTGTAGAGAAGCTAACGTATTATTTTCTTGAGATGGGGATTTGTCCTTTAATGGAGTCCTGAGAGAAGTAAGTGTGTGTGTGTGTGTGTGTGTGTGTATTCTACCAACATCTTACGATACGCCAAAAAAGTCTATTGCGTTAGGTTAGGTAAAGTTAAGTTAGCATTAGGTTAAGTTAGGTTAGATTAAGTTAGCGTTAGGTTAAGTTAAGGTTAGGTTAAGTTAATCTTGAGGTGATGACACTTAATAGAGAGAGAGAGAGAGAGAGACGTGACAGTAAACTTCCGGGTGTATACTTGAGGAAGAAGTATTGTACAGGAGATGATACACATTATACTCCACGATATAATTCTTCTCACCAACATCATATAAAAACCAACCTTTTGATCTATTTCTTCAGTATATATCTTACATAATCATAATGGCTTGGACAATAATAAATATTATACTTCTCATTACCATTCATCTCGAGTAGCATTTTGTGTAGAAAGATCATATATATTTAACTGTATTTAGATGTAATATTAAATGAATCTATAATAGTCGTATAATGCTTTGTTCATTTCTTTAATAATAATTCCAACTAAAATCCTGAATATAGTTTGCCTTGAGCGATACACTGAGACACAGGTGTGAGGTGTCCCTGCTGCGTGTCGGCTCGTCCTTGGGTAGAACAGTTAGTTTTGCAGTCAACGTAACGAGCAACACTTTACTTACAACACATCTCTTAAACTACATCCCAAAATACGTGTCATCCTCCACCATCCTGACCTAGAGTGGAGTACTGAGCATAATAGGAGAGCATTTTGAATCTTGACTGACTCTGAACAATATGAGGGTAATTATTTACATTACTCTATTGTTTAATTAATTTAAGTGTGTTTTTACCGTAGGACGAATCATCCTCTAGTTAAGAAATCATTTAATAATATTAGTTCGTTATTAGATGGACTGGTATAATGGTAGTAGGTGTTTGTGTAGCAGGGGCAGATGATAAACAAAGCGGGTGTTGTTGCGGAGTGTAGCGGTGTGTAGTGCAGTAAGTGAGGCGGTTGTCCCTAGCTCCACACCCACCTACACAACCCGTTATAGGATTTTCCGGTGTCTATTTCACATTATTTCACATTATTCAGTCTATTTTTGCTATTATTAGTGAGTTAGTTTGTGTAGTGTTATCAGAGAATGGATGGTTAGGTTGTGGACGGGAGGGCGAGAGATGGCTGGCTGGCTAGAGTCTTGGAACCGCCATGGCAACACTGTCTCCCAGGGGTTCAATGGCACAAAGGAATGAACATTGTGTAGTTATCCTCTTATAATCTGTTCATGATCTACCCTGTTCTCTTGAGTTCACTCTTATAAAGGTATTAAATTTACTGAACAATGAAGCTAGAACAATATACGTATACCAGGTAAGGTTATATTGACGGAAACAAACATAACAATGAAGACTTTAATTAATTAATTCACTCACATTACTGTTCTGTCAACGTAACCATAACGGGAACATTTCTTCAGTGGTTTTGAGTGTTATGACACGCCTTCAACAAACACTTGAGGGTCACTCAGTCAGACGCGTTGTGCAGCGTTAAATTACCAAGTTGTTTAGTGTGTTGCGTCACTGTTTTATGGCGGGAGGGAGACCAGAGCGGCGTTCATGTTTGCGTAAATTACCAGAGGAGGAAAGTGAAGTTAAGGCGGCCTACTGCTGGCGCCTCTCTGGTGTTATGACCTGGGAGGTATTATAACTATGCCTGCAGTGTTGCCCTCTGCTGGGTGCTCAGAGGGCCAGGGGGGAAAAGAGATTCCTGGTGGGTCATTAAACACACCTGTACAGCGGCCACACCACCTACAGGAGGCTCTCATAAAATCATATAATACCTGGGTTAGACTTCACAAAACAACAGTAGGGGTGGTGGGTAGGTGAGGGTGAGGGC